TTATGCACCGACTGTGGGGTTTCACACAACGTTATAAGTAAATGAAATGGTGCAGTGTGGAATTTATTTGCCTGGGCGGAAGTTGAAAGGAGTCATAGATGAGGACTAGTATTATTTGGAAGACAGTGTGTGCTCGTGTGCGTATGTGTTTGTGTGTGTTTGCATATATATATATATATACATATATATATATATAAAATGTTTGTGTATGATTTATTTAACACGTTCACGACAATGTGTGTTTGTTGATAGAACTAGCTTAGAGACAGGCGAAACGAAGAACCCGCATGGTGTGGTGATGAACGCGTTCGTTCCCCACCGCAGACACTTGCGATCCGGAGTTTTGCAGATATCTCAGCGTCTATGATGGGATGGCTAGATTATATAGGAATACCAAGTAGTTAAGATGATTCGGTCGGAGTTTGCTGTTCGCCTTTGTGTATGCCACGCGGGACTTCTTGTAAGTAGCAGTCACAATGCCGGAAACCTCAAACTTGGGTAATTAAACCGTTTATCATAATTATACAACAATTATGGCATAACGATACAACTGTACAATTAATACAACAATGATACCGGCTGTGAGTAGGCGTAACCTGATCACTGGTGTTCAGGTTGCTTGTGACTGAAGAGATTGGGATAACGGTGCAACTGTGTAATTAATGCAACGATGATATAGGTAATACAATAATGTGTGATATTTGGCGATATGTAAGCTGAGTGGGTAAAGATGGAATTGAGATGGTAACAAGTGATATTCGGCGATATGTAAGCTGGGTGGATAAAGGCGGAATTGAAATGATAACAAGTGATACACTTGAAGGAATTAACGCGGACACTGGTGTTGGAGCACTAAGGAATTGAGGGACCGGAAGCAGACCGGTCGAACGCGGCTGAGATTTCAGGACCAGTCCTATGGGTTGCCTGTATTACATCTGAAGTGGGTGGAGCTTTGCTAGAGGGAACTAAAGGCGGCTTCCGGAGAGGGGTTGCATGTGGAATGGTGCAGGTGTCTGTTCGGAGACTTTTTTGGAACGACAGATGCTGAAAAGTGCATTCAGCTGGCTGCTGCTGATTCCCTTTCCAGCCACCTGCGAGGCAATTGCATGAAACGGTTGTTAAGAGATGATTTACCGAATGTGCAAGGATAGATGTATGACGATTACGAATAGATAGGTGTTGTGGAAGGCATAAGGTTATAATTGTTCTACATAGAGAACATTCCAATATTCGTGGAGAATGTTCTCTATCACGTCGTTGAAATTATGCTATCTTTTATTTCAACCACTAAACTTCACTATAACTTGATGTATAAGTATCGTATGACTCCTATAGAGGTAATGTGGTCGTGAATGTGTTAAAATTGTGTATAGATTGAACAAAACCAGAACAAAATGAAAGCAGTGCTATGAAACTGATCTAAAAAGAAAGCACGAAGGGTTGAGAAGACAAAAATTGTTCCCTTATTTGGAAAATCATTAAAACATCAAATTTTCAGTTCTACCCTGCATAAGTTAGTAGCAAACTACGACTCCATAGCATTCCATCTCGAAGAAATGCAGGAAGACAAAATAACAAAAGTCATGTAGCGGATTTAAAACAACATTACCATGTTTCCCTATAACAACGTTCGTGATAGACTTACAACACCAAAATCTATGGCTGCATGCACTACGCAGTTTTCTTGTGTTGACAAGCCACGCTCTCAATCTATCACAGCGAAAAACTCCCCATTCAGACACCATCGAGCGCAGATCGCCATTCTAGAATAGATTGCATGTCAAGTTGGTCTTTCCAGACTGAAGAAGATGAAACTGCGCAAACGTGAGCTGTTGCTAACAAGTAAATGCTGTAATAACAACCTTCCTAACTTCCCAACGGTTTACCGCCTCATCGTGGCTAGGAGGTGTTCTCAGGTGTTGGGTGCGGTGTACTGCTAGGGATTCATCCCCATCAGGCTCTCCCAAGTTGGGAAGAAGTTGGGTGTTTCTGTCAAGAGGCCCAGCTCAGTGTAAACCAATACCAGGATTCGTTATCGTTCTGGTATCAAACTAGTAGCTTGGTGGCAAATCCCTCTGATGCACAAGGCGGGTGACTGCTCGTAGTGGGGACGATTTGGGGCAAACTTTTGCTAGAGTGAAAGGGAATCACAATGGCTAAACCAGCAAAACTACGAGAAAACGGAAGTTATGCTGAGCTCCGCACACCCAGTGAGAACGGGTCATCCAAGGTCCAAGTAAGTATGTAGTAACAACCTTGTGTTTGCTCATCAAGGAAGCAGTGAAATATCGCGTTATTAAAGGCTTGTATTTGCGTTTGGATTCGACTGCTGCTTGAGAATTTTGATGTTCTTTATGGATTTGGTTGAACGCTGGTAGAACCGATCCTCCCTGGACTCTTAGGACAGTCGTGTTCGTAGGGAGTTTCCGGTTTTCATCATAGGCGGTCTCCAGCTTTTATCGATTAGATGGACTGATCCCAGCCAAGTTTTGTACCAATTTTCGGAGGTATCGGATCTTGGTTATCCCTAGAAGTGGTGTTACGAGAGCTTTACCCTTAATGAGATGGGCAACTTGACTACCACTGCGATGCTGGCGCTCCTTACTTGACCAATATAGGCGTTCCTAAAATGCGAGAGTACTAAGGAAAGCAAGAGAATTCCGTGATTTCGCGCAAACGTATTTTTTTCTTTATATCAAGACAAGTTCTTATATTTGTGAATTGACCAAAATGTTTATTTCAAGTTTCTGCATCGTTTAGTTATGAAATGGTTTTGTTCCAGAATCGTTCGACTATGTAAGCACTGAAGCTCCTGATCTAATTGCTGTGAAGAACGCGCTAGCAGTGGCTGCAGGCGAACATAGTGGACATCATCGTGGGTTTAAGCAAGAGATTTAATTTTTTCACCATTATCTTGTTTTTGTTTCTTCAGATAGCTTTCTTTCTCCGAGCGATTCAAAATCTATTGATTTGCGCAGTTCGCAACACTTTGAAACTATAGAGGAGAATGCTTCATTGAAGTCGTCACCATGTTCATCGAGGTCTCCACAGTAATATTCACTTGAATGACTGTGTTTAAAGTTTGTATATTGAGAAGAGTATGTCTAGAAGTTTACTGCGTGTTTAGAAGTTCCATCAACGTTAACGACGTAGCAGTAGATGGAATAGAAGTGGGGCGATGGTGTGGAACCGACTGTATTGAAGATATCGGCCAGAAATGTACGGATACGCTTGATAATCCATCGACGAAGGACTTTTCATTGGTTTCATATTGCGCTCCATCCTATCGATCTGCCTCTGTTGCGCTTTCCGAGATCAATGAGAGAAATCCATCACAGAACTCCACACACGGATTACCAAAGAGAAGCTCCGTACCGACACTAAAATCTCATGATGCTGATTATTCAAGTGCGGTTCTTAACTACGCATTCGTTCAGGTTTGTTGACTAAGATGCCTTTCACGGCAATACCACTGCAGCAGAAAATGATGAAAAGGCGGAAAATGATTTAAGTAATAGATCTTGCCACTGCAAAGGTCCCAGATTTCATGAGGTTTTCCCACTGTTGGTGTAAAGGTTAAAACCGTCCATGTTCACTTGGCAGAATGGTTCTCCTGTTGTTACATAGTATACATACACATTTGACCCTCTCCATTTAAATTTATGGTTATTCTGATTTTCCATTTTTCCTATGATGCTCTTCATTTGGAAAGGAAGACGTTCAGATTGACTCCGAATATTCTATGGTGGTTAGATCTTTGAGCTAAATTTCGCTGGACATTTACGTATGCTTTAGGAACCAGGACCGCAAATGGAAGAGCTGCGTACTGATTCAGGGTGTGATTCTTCGGGTCGTTACCGTTCGGAGTCTGGAATTATATTTCTTCAGAACCACGATGTTGGAAAATCTACACTCGACTATGCCTCAATTAAACCTATTTGATTAACACAAATCTTCGGATGTTGTAATGGTTTTTGATTTTGCGTCTTTTCTTGTACTTACTTTTGAGAATTTGTTATATTGGCTCAGAGTGCTTGCTACTAACCTTGTTTCGGTTTCGGTGTTTTTTTCCCTCTTTTCATTGTATTACATACTATACGAACTGCTACTCGTATTTTTGTTTCGTTTTCTTTTTCGTTATATTACATTCTCATCCTGCTATCTGTTAAACTTGTTTCTGTTTCGACGTTTTTCTGTCTTCTTTAGTAATAAGACTAATTCTGTTTTTGCTAAAGATCTTAGCTTAGCTTTTTTCTAGAGTTTCTCACCACTTTTGATCGACTATCCCTTGATTGATAACTATTTCTCGCCATATTTTGCAGCTTGTCCTAACAATACTAACACGCGTACATATTTTTATCAATACGAGATATGTATTCATCATATGAACAAGAACGTTATGAGGGATATAGCGTCTTTGTTTTGTACATATTTGAGATGCGTAATGTATTTTGGAGTTGGATTTGAAGATCGGCTGCTTTTCTTATCATGTTGCAAATATAGGTCATGTTAACGATATGTTACATGCAAGTGCAAGCGGTACATTAGGAAGTTCTATAGACAATGGAGAAATTTGCGTTCAAGTGTGCAGTACTCTGACGAAGCGATGCGAAGAAGTAGAAAGTCATTGAGGGTTTTAAAGCGTTTAGAAGCTGGAATGCGGACTACGGAAATACGATTTCGGAGAAGGGCGGAGAATGGCACAGTTATTCGTGTGACTTACGAACACATGTACAACTGCGCTGTTCACACTATTTGGGAGTGACATAGGGGGCAAAATTTGTAGTTATTAATCTCCTCTTCATAGGCCCTCTGTTTGCAGATAGGACATAGCCAAAATTGATATGCAGTCATGGGTCGGCCACTAACAATGCAAACAGGAAACTGAAAATATAGTATTGTCTTAGAAATACGTTGGATTATGACGGCATAGAAGCGTTGTATGATGGCCAATAGCGAGTTGAGATTTGACATAATTTTCTCGCCAACTATAGAAGTGACTAGCTAACCTTAGTTTCACAGTGTGGACAACAAAACTCATAGTCAGGCACTGGCTTGTCGCATGCGATGCAAGCAACCATATTCGTATGGCTGTCCGTTGGAGGATAACTAAAGTAAAACCGTAACATCGCTCCTTTCGTAAGAATGTCAGCTAACCTGGTGAATAGCTCCAGTGCTAATTTTTGGTAAGCCCTTCTTTCTTCTGAAGCAGGATCGGTCAGTGACTCAAGGCTCATGAATGCACGGCTACACACAGTAAATTGCCGACAAGCACACGATGACAATGCTGAATGGTTCTCCGAAATGTGAGATATTTAAATTTAGAGTGGAAATAAGAAATTATGGCTTTTCTTAATTACTTCTGTAATAGCTTAGCTAGTTAGAAATCAACTTTATTTAATGAAATTACAATTGTTCTAGTATTATTCTAATTTGAAAAAAAAAACGGCCTTACAATAATGTTGTCACTTTTTATTCACTGCGTATTCTTTTTCTATGGCAGTATATGGTGTGAAATATAACCATAAAGATGCTGTGATTTTTACAAAATTCCGGACCCTAGGTGTTTGCGGTGGGGAACGAACCCGATATTACCTTTTCCGGAAGATAACGTGTTTACCACCACACCATGCGAGTGACTGCTGATGGCACCTATAAGTTAAAACACGGTTGAAAGGAAAGTGAAACGAATGATTTTCATGGTGGGGTGGCGAACACGTCAGCTCCTAGAAAAAGTAATAACGAGTTCGATCCCTACCGTAGAGACAAGGTTTTACAAAACCTCGCGTTTGCTCAACAAGAATGTAAAGGTTTTACGCCTTTTATGAAATATAAGAAGAGGAAATGAATGAAATGGAATGAATTCTATTTGGGTAATCAGATAATGTAGTAGCAGATTCATTACGTTGTGGTCTTCGTGTTAGTGGCTTTGTTTACTCATTACATGACTGGTCAGCTAGGGCTGCACTTCAAAGAAGTATTCATTTAGGAAAGGAACATCTGGCAATTTCCAAAGCGCGCATTGTGGCTGCATGTTACATCATGAATAACTTTTGTAAGAGCTAAGATTTTGTGTTCATAGCCTTTTCATTGCTGAAGTACTGGTTAGCACATTGGTAATGTAGTGCACAGTGAGAAGAAGTAATCCCTTGAACAATAGAATGGACAGCTCCGGATCTACCTGCATGTTTGTGACACTCTTTAGTGCTTCCAAACCAGCTATGTTGCTCTACGTTTCCTATATATTTCTACCTTTGAAATTTCATGTTACGCAGACGTATAAAAGGCGTCGAAGTTGTTCTCTGAAATAGAACCTTTGATGAGTCCCTTTTTTGCATTAGGTTGTAAAGAACTAACGAAAAGCTATCAAGGTGTTGTAGACGAGTGTCCAGTGTAGTTAGTTAATATTCTCGTGTATTCCTATACCGTTTAATGATCAATACTGATGAAATGGTGTTTATTTATAGCTTGTTGAACTCTTCGCTTCTTCGAAAATTGGAATCAAAACAAATAGTAATAGCGTAAATAGCAAACTGTATTACGTTTTCTCAAACGTCAAAATGATCGACGGAATCAAGATTGTTCCCTTGTTTTTGAGTCCATTCAGAAACACTGTGATGTGCTCGCGCTTCATTTCTGTTTCCGTTACTGTTGCTCAAGTTGGTGGAGGAGGTAGTAAACAAGTTGTGAATTTATCTATACTGAAGACTTCTTCTTTAGCATGCTGCCTTTAGCCGGACTGTAAATGAAGGAAAAAGGTCTCGGCGTTGATAATCCTTGAGGGATGTGCCATGCACACGACTTCATTAAGTATCGTTGGAGGTGATTGAAAGTATATCTGGCCTTTCCAATGACTCACAATGGCCTACCGATGTATTGAATCACTGCTGCTATCTTCTCAGACAAGTCTGGTACCCATTTGCCGACTTTGGAGGGATGGAAGGCTTAGTAGGTCTGGGTCGATGGGATCGATCCCGTGTACGTTGCAGGGCGCATTCGACCACTGCTCCACGCGCGCCCTAACCGGGTTTTAATGGCCTTTAATTCGTGCGTCAATTTACAGTTCTATGGATGGATTTATTCGTGGTAATATTAGCATGGTTTCGTGCAAACGTTCTCGAATAAAGTATTCTTGTGCAACATTGTAATGAATATTAGCTCATAGATCCTCGGTCTTTATTGTATTTGACTCTAAACGTTCTTAGTAAAAAAATCACCATCTAATTCTCAACGTTGTAAATTTCTATTCAAATTCGAAGATCTCATTCTTGTTATAAGAGCATGACGGTTCTATAGCTAATATGGCACTCTATGACTTTGATTTATCCTTAGGCGACCGCACAGCATCTGAAAATTAGGAAAAACGAGGAAATTTTCTGAGATAATCTGCCTTCTGATCCATTGCTTGTTGGTCTAAAAACACTTTTGTTTTCACTACAGGTGGCCAGTCGTTAATTGGTGCATCCTTGGCGCGCAAGAGATTTTTGCTACAATGTCACTACCAAGTAGCTGGGAAATTTCAGCCCATCACAGTGATCAGAGAAGCATGGGAAAACTTTGGGCTTTTCAAGTTTCCACAATGCTATTAAACGGGTTTTATGCTTACTTCTTCCTGCCTATCAGTCACTTACCAAGCAACGAATGTATCTCGATGGGATCAATGTACGCCTCGAATTGAGTGAGGTATAAACTTGTCTTCATCGCTCCGCTATGATCGCCTGTAAACATATCACTTACGTAACTCTAGGAATCCTTAGCAAAAATGCGCATAACCGCTTGGCTTCAGCCACTGCAAAGAACAGCGACCCCACCGGCGAATAGCTGACGATGGGCGAGCATCATGAAATGGTACGCTAGTGCTGCTGTCCATGTTCTGTCAACCATTCTGCTGTCCTCCAATGAAAGATTTTTATCATCTTCTAGCAATTCGTTTACACTAATACTGATCTGAAACTGAGTTATCGTTCTCGTGTGCAACTCATCTAACACTGTCATTGTCTGCGTCACACAAATGCGCATGGAAGAATGGCTCTACATTTAGATGAAAATCGAGGTGATCTCAAGCCCTAAAGATGGTTTTAAAATTGTAAGGACAACGAATCATCTATAAGAAATGAATATATTTTTTAATAGAAATGTCTAAGTTCATTTTGAATGTCGATTTTATAATGATCTCGAAGAGAAATAAGGCGATTTCAGATCTTTGTATGGCATGCGTTGTTGTCTTTGAGAACATACAAGTTATGATCTAAATAGTCTCTGAAGACGATCACGTGAAATCAGGATCGAATCAACAAGTAAGTTCTCTCAAAATGAATTCTTTGAACACTGGCCCGTTGTTTTCGTCACGCGTACAACGTTTGCGAAGGATGTGGTGTTTGAGGTATTAAACAGGAACTTTTTCCGTTCGAAACCTTTTGAAAGTGACTTAATTTAAGAACCGTAATAGTGTAAGGTTTGAGGCAAATGGCTTGGTCACTGATGAAGCCACTGTTTATTCTAATCAAAAGATTTGAAACTGATTTTAACATACGAAAAGTGACAGAATTTTTTGCCAGTGGCTTCGGAGTGGTCCGAACATATATCCATCTTGATCAGCACTTGAGCAGGAATTACTACTAGTTACTTCTTGAAAATATAGGTTTTAAATGAATGAAAAGAAAAGTCCTGATCAAAAGCTACATCGTTGCCTTGATTTCCTCTCTTCTTTGCCAATCTCTCTTTGTTGTGTGCATGGTATTCTTCTATCAACATTGCAGCCAGCACATACATTTTCTTTAGCCGTAGACAATTTGATGCTTTACTGCGTTCATCCTCGGCCATCTAGAAGAATTCTGAAGTGTTTATCGAAGTAATGCAGACGAGGAGCCTTTGTTATGTAGTTGTATTCTCCTTGTTATTCTTAGACGAAATTAATGTAATCGTTGTATGATGTGCTGCTTTGTGCTATTACGATATACTCTCATATCAGAATCATGGTTACAGTTAAATTTGCAGTTTAGAGCCATATCTTCTTGGAAATCATAAGTTGTTTGAATTTCAGTAGTTCGCACGCATTCTAATACTGCAGCGTTACTACGTGCACTTTTGCTTTGCTTTTTTGCTGTGGCTTTAAAAAAGTGAAAACGCTTCCTAAAGTCTGAAAGTACCTAGGGGCATTCGAAATTGACGTGCCAAGGGATTTGTGCGTAAGATTATCGTTTTTGAGTAGTTAAGCAGAAATTAGCCACAAAAACATTGCTACTAAGGAATCCAGCATAATTTAGCGTCTTCCATATCACTTATTGCAGAGCTTTGCCGTTCCGCACAATAGTTGGACTAGTTCATAGGAAAACTGCAAAAGTGTGTCCTTAGCCGTATTACGCTATATTTTTTTTCGTAATTGATTTTAAGATAAAATCCGAGCGGAAAGCTGGCTTTGACAAAAGTAGAGCTATTGTCACCGAAGAAAAAGGCAGAAATCTTGTGCTACCATGTACACGACTCGTGCTCCATCCAAGAATCTTCCAGCCCTTCTGTAAAGCAGCACAGCTGCCAGAGATCTCTCGCTGCTTTCACTCAATTCCTCCACATACTTGCCCATCAGTATGTCCACATCGCGAAGATTGTGTGTCCTAGATAAGGCAACAGCCTAAATATCCGCGTAAAAGAGGTACACTAGACATAGCAGTTCACAAAATGTACCTTATCCCAGTTATTGAGCTGTATGCACGTGTCTAAGGCGTCTGATATTTGTCCGCACCTAAGAAAGCATTGAACAGCATTCTCGCAAAGTCCGGATGAGGCGAATAACTCTGCTACTTGCTAAAATAGAAACTGTAAAATCCTCATCCGTCAATTTCTCAAAAACTCTTACCGGTAACAAAGGATGACGGTCTGGAAGCTGTTTTGCTAGGTTTTCAAGGCCATAAAAATCATCTAGATGGATGTAGCACTCCATGAGCTCCTTTAGTTTCCCAGCAAGCTCATAGTGATCCGCAGCTTCTTTCCTAGAACAACACAGAGAAATCTGTTACCGGACATACAAGTGTGCGACTTACCATCTCTGTCTATCCTTGTTATAATTTGCTACATTTGTTAATGCTTCTTTCCTTTGTTTATCGTCAGTAGCGTTAGAACTAACACTGACCAGTCGTAACACACGTAACCACTCATCGGCTCTTTTATACATATCGATAGCTAAGTCTCTGAAAGAGGCAGAAAAATGGACGTTCAAAGTTGTTGATGAGGCTATTCTACGATAGATAACAAGTTTTCTTTCGAGAAACGTTTTCATTTATTCATTTCATTTTCATTGGATGCGTGCAGCGCTGTCATTAGAGGAGTCCTGCAATACACATAGCACAGATCGTTGAATCGATCCCACCGTCCCTCCCGATTCAGCAGGCACCTCCATTCCTACGGAATCGGCAAATTGCTATCAAACTCGTCTTTGAGGATAAGAACACATACGATACATTGGTAAGCCACTGTAAGTTATTGTATAGGCTAGATCACTTATATCACATGTCGCCCAATTGATCGTCTAGTGACTCGATCAGGTGCCAGCATATCTTCCATTTTTTCCTATCACCTGCTAAGGTAACCTAGAAGGTTACGTCGGTTAGATGGAATCGCTGAGCGTGATATGTTCTTTTAGGGCTTTGGTGAAGAACTTTTAATACCAAGGAGGGGGTCTCCATGAGTTAAGAAGTAAGTGTTTTCCTTTGAAGGAGGAACTCTTTTCAATACGAGTATAGACCGCAAAGGAGTGGCAAATTTTAACCTAAAGAGATTTTGGTAAGATATCTCAAAAAAGCTATCACAGGAATACCTAGTTTATGACAGCCAAGCGTCCATAGCGACGTTTCCCTTTGATCCTTCGATGTCGGTTCTTCCTTTCCAATGAAATTTTTTTTTGCTATTCGTTAGGTTGTTCTCCCATTATTAGGGAACATGAGCTGAGTTTAGACATATATATGACATCAGAGATTATGCCCAACTATTTGGCTTTTCGGTATGGATAATCTCTGCTGGTTGCCAAAGCCAGAGCACTATGGTTCAAGGTCAGGGCGCAAAATCACATCTATACGACGTGTATGCTGGTCATGGTGTTGAATCCAGCAAAGCAGTATTAGGTTTTTCCGAGCGTTCCATCAGGAAGCCTAGCTAAAAGTAAATCACTACCAGGAACGACCGCAGTCCTGGTACCAATCTAGTTGCATGGTGGCAAATCTCTCTCTGATTCACAATGGCTGCGACTACCTGTGGTCGTGATGGCCTGCGGCAGAGTTTGGCCAGGCTGACCTCTAGATCCCAGGGAACCACAATGACTCAACCGGCAAGTCTCCAAAAAGAAAAAAAGTGGAGGCTGTGCTGGCGCCCGCATAATTGGTGAAGACGGGCCATCCAAGTATCCAAATATCCAAGGTCTTCAGTTGTGCGATTAACATTCCGAGGAAACCAGTCGTTAAAGGCTCCTGGTCACTAGTTGTCGTTTAGACGCATCATATGTCTTACCCACCTTATCTTCGACAATTTGGCATGCAGAACAGCGCCTTTGATTTTCAATCTTTGAAGTAGGTTGGGGCTTCGGAACCTTCTCTCGTTTGCGTGACACGGGAATGGGTTTTCTAGAGTGTTCCTAGGTCTTCATGACAATTGGTCACTGAGTTTTGCCAATTAAAGAGACCTGTTCGCGAACAGGTCTGTGGCACTATGGTGACCCTGAGCGTTTTGAAGGCTGGATTGATCCGGGCATGGTCGAATTCGAAGGTATCGTACGCGTGCTCCAGCCCATTTCTAACTTCTGCGCTTCTCGCGTCTTACATTGGAAAATGGTTGACCGATCTGCTAAGTCATTCCAGTTCGATTAGTTATGTCTCAAGACTAACATTTTCTTATTTTAACTTCCTTGAACACGCCAACAACATATATGAAGTTTTCTGTTGAAATTTGCCAACGAGGCTAAGTTAAGAAGTACGTAGATGTTTGCTGTGAATTTCCCCACAATACGACAGGCCTATTAAAGCTTTTCATATGTACAGGCAAACGTTTCAGGTAAGCATCCTAGTAATAAATGAATACCTTCGATCTTGTTCAATGTACACTTTTTCGGCATCGTTCGCTCTACCCAAGTGCATAAATACTTCCGCTTTTTTCAAATGTGGATCCTGAAAACTTGGCACTTAAAGTAAAACTTCTTTTTGTGACCAGTATAGGAAATCCTACGAAAGACTCTCGTTTATGCTTTCGACATCGGCCAATCACAATATCACGATTAGTTCTTATAAGTTGGAGGAAAATTTCTAAAGCAATATTTCTTTTAAAATTGATTAACTCTTCTACGTACTTCGTCTTCACGGCCTCAAGGGTATCGTACATTCATAAGTAACGTATCCGGCGAAATACTTTCATAATTACAACAAAAACTCAAGATTTAGGTTGCAGTAATAGTTCTACTCTTCACTTTTTATATTAAGAGGTGAGACCACTCACAAGTGTATATATGGGATGATGAATGCATCCGCCTAAGGTGAAGAAGTAAACGCAAGATATGGAGTCGTGTCATTATCAGTTATAAGGCATCTCTGCACTTCATCCTTTGGTCTCTGGAGTTGATCCAAAGCTCCTCAACAGTTTTGCGAATTGATTTTTTTGATCGGCATGGCAGGAACGTGTGAAGTGGACTTCTTTTATCGTTATATTTCAAAAATCGGCTTTGCTTTAACGTGGGCGTTACTTATCAGCGCGTAGTTTTTTATTGATAATCGAATACAAGTTTGATGAGAGACTTTATTAGGTCGACGTATACGTTAGCCGAATAAAACCTCTTGTTAAACTCGTGTTAGCTTATCAATAAAAGAGTCACAAGTTCATCGTTATATCTTTTTTTTTACATGTGAATTTTGTGAAATACTTTTCGAGAGTTTATTTTCACTTATTTATTCATTTATCTATTTATTTGTGCGACCCAACATAACATATTGTGGTCATGCATGCGTCATCCGTGGATGTCCTCAGATTTATGTCTTAATTTGGATGTTACTTGACGACTTTGTTTTCATGATGAATGCAGTTGAATGTTGGTCGGGTTAAGTGGAATCTCGGAATGGTCTGTAAGAGTGTTTCTATATCTTTACCACAATAGACAACTAGGTCGATCGGAGGGATCGAAGAATCTCTGCTCAGTCCTGTATCAATCTGCCGATCCAGGAGTGAATGTGTTATTTGGTAAGCCTAGAATGCAGTCGAATAGTGGTTGCAGCACGGTTATAGCACAGCATCTGTTAGCACCGCACTTTCCACGCTTGTCAAAGATTAATTTTCCTATTTAAATATTCCCTCCCAACGGTTTACTACGTGGCTGGGAGGTGTTCTTGGGTGTCGGACTACGTTGTACAGCAGGGGGATTCATTCCCCCCACCGGGTCCCACAAGCTGAGAAGGAGCCCAGCGTTTCCATTAGGAAGCCCAGCTAAAAGTAAATTAATACGAGGATCCACCACCGTTCTGGTATCAAAGTCGCATGGTAGCAAATCTTCCTTTGATCCACAAGCGCGGCGACTGGCTTTGATGGTGACGACCCGGGGCAGATTTTAGCCAGGCTGACCTCGGGACTCCAGAGAACCGTAATGACTACACCAGCGAAATTTTGAAATATGGAGATCACGCTGAGCTCCGCACACCCAGTGAGGAGGGGCCATCCAAGTATTTAAGTATCCACGAATCTTTTCTCCTCAGTTTTCCAATATAATCTTTATCATGGGTAATGTAAGCAGTCAGATTTACTGTACTGGAGCTTGTCGTTCCGAAATTCATGTGTCGTGTTAACTAGCGTCATGGCCGATTTGGGTTCCCCAGATCAATGCCGATGACGGGTGACTGCTGATGGTAGTGATCGATAGAACTAGCTGAGAGACAGGCCAAGCGAGAGACCCGCATGGTGGTGAACGCGTTCGCTCCCGGAAGGGTAATAGCTTGTTCGTTCCCCACCGCAAACACTTGCGGTGCGGAGTTTTGCAAATATCTCAGCATGATAAAAGGTTATAATTCGGTAAGCGTAGTTGAAATGCCACCGAGTAATCTTAGGCGCTAGCTAGTTCGTAACCACCTATATGATCGTCTATGTGCAACTCAAAATTGCATATTTTGCCCCAGTGGTAGAGACGGTGATAGCATGAGCTCGAGTACAGTTTATCTGATCTCGTGTAAGACGTGCGGAGACGATTACATTAGCGAAACGAGCAGACCCCTCTGTGCCCGCATAAAAGAACACCTAGTCGGCAAAAATACCCCGCAAGGCACGCATAGGACCCAGAGACATAACGGGGAAGACTTTGAAGTACGTGTCACGATCCTTCCACAGGAATCGAGACACAAGCGCGCAAAACTCTCGAGGTATTCTGGATTAATTCCAAGAATCCGAAAATAAACCGCAGGGAGGAATGCGTCATTATCACGCGCGATGTTGGGCAACATATAAGCCTGTTATTTTGATGAGATGGGCACAATACGATTCCGTGTGAACTCTGTGCGGTTGGTCTTCACGTGATATATTTAGTGGAAGACTCATAGAAAGCGGTGAGTGTGCAGACTCTGTGTTCGATGTGATTGAAATTTTGGTTCAGCATTTTCTCTGTTTGGTTATGGAGGTGTTTGGTCGAGTAGATTGTAGTCAACTTGACCTTTCTAGGCTCTGAGGAAGGCGAAATTCGCCGAAACATCAGCGTATTCGTGAATAAAGAATAAAAGTAACACGTCGCGTTTGGTCAACAAGAATACGATGAATAGAAATTATATTTCGCCACCTGCCCCGCTATTATAAAGAGTAGGCAGAAAATAAGAAGATTAAGAGAATTCGTTGCAGTTTTTGAAGAAAACATTACTAGACGTATAAGTAAAATGGTGTGGCTATAATAACTGCATATGTTACCTGAATCTCCACAATCCTCTTACAGAAGCGCAATCCGCAATAATCACGCATTTTTACCTATAATTCTAAACTATGAACAATGATACTTTAAGCAAAAGTGCTAATATCGAACTTACGTAAGCATACTCAGCTGTTGGAATGTCCAGCCTCAAAAGAGCGACTTCAGTTAGAAGGGCCCTGTGTCGACGGGTATTAAGGTTAACTTTGTTATTTGACCATAAGTATGGTAAATTAATATTATAATGACACGTTTAACCCACCACAAGCGAGGAT